CCTGTATTGCTTGAGTAATGTATGAGTTTATAGATGTTTTCATTTATTTTCATTAATGCCAAGCCACAGAAATTTTTTTTTTTGTTCGGTTTGGCTTCTTTACAATTACACATGCCATTACAAATTATGTGATTGTTTTGTAGTTAAATCTATTTTTGAAACATTTACGCTGTAAACTGATGGCCCTATTACTTGGTCTGTTTTAGCATTCATATTGCTTTAGTAGTGCCCGTGAAAAGGTTCCCTTTCATACAGAAATTTAATCTATTGCCTTATTTTCTTCTATTCTAAATTATATCAGTTTTATTTTTATATAAACTTTTTCTAGTTCTATATTTTCAAGAAATAATAAAGAAATACACGGAGAATGCTACAGAAATAGCATGATTCAAGTCCATGGACAGCATAATGCCTATCAATAATCCATATCAACATTTCTGTTTTCAAAATATAGTTTAGATGTGGGCATTTTTTTGATAATCATTTCTACTGTCTTTATTAGATGATCTTAGTCTATCAAAAGATACTTATAAAAAATCAACACTGAGACTGATCAGGGACCCCTCTGAGGGGCCTGCTGGGCCCCCAAGCACAGAAATAAAGGAAAAATCTTGAGTTCCTTCAGGGAAAGTTCCAGGACACCTGGCTAGCCTTGAAAAGTGAATGGGCAACCTGAGGAGAACAATGGCCCTCCAAGGAAGCCAAAGTCATGAGGTGTTTTGGTGTTTTGGTTCCCTATGGAAACTAAAAGATGGCATATTAACATAGTTCTTGAGTTGTTTTTCAGAAACCCCTACCAGATGGAAAATGCAGATAAGGAGGAACTGAGGAATTGACCTCTGACCTCCATTCTTTGTTGTTGTTACATTCATCCTAACATTCCTTTCCATTCTGAATCCACTTAATCCATTTCCACCCCCCACTTCAGGATAACCTGCCTTTTTGGGCCAGGCTTACCCCTGCCTTTAAAAACCCTTTAAGACATCAGGGAGTTTCAGTTTTAAGTGTTAACTGCTTGTTCTCCTTCCATGGCACCCTGAAAATGAAAATAACTCTTTCTGCCACTGTAGCTCTTGGCCCCAGTATCTGGCCTTTCCGTGCCAGGTGACTGGACACCACTTTGGTTCAATAACAACACAGTCTTGGAAATAGGAATGCCAGATTTATCAAATAAAAATATTGTATGCCCAGTTAAAGTTAAATTTCAGATAAACTGTGAATAATTTTTTAGTATCGCAGTATCCCAAATAGTAAACGAATTGTTTTCTGTGTAAGTATGTCCCAAATATTGTATGGGACATATTTATACTAATAAAATTACTCATGGTTTATCTGAAACTCAAAGTTAACTGAGCATCCTGTATTTTATTTGGCAGCTCTACTTGGGAGGCATCATGGTAGTGTAAATGAACGTAGATGGGAATGCCAACGAACCCTAGGTGGTTCTGCTACTCAAGTAGTTAGGTAGCCTTGAGCATGTCATCTAACCTACCTGAAGCTAAGTTTCTGCAGAGTTGTTTTTTTTTTAAATAAACATTAGAAATTACATATTTCAAATTAGAAATTATATGTTTAAAACACCTCGTACATAATAGATTTCTATTAAAGAGTAGCTGTTATTATCAGAACAAGGAAAAACTACAAAGGCAAGTTACCAGTTGTCCTCCAACCCCGATCTTAGTAAACTTGCAGTAAAGATTCTTAATGACAGCACTCAGCAGCTAAACAACCTAATAGATTGATAATACAGGAGTCTACCCAGATCTTGGTGACTGTTTACCACATTAGAGATTTGACCAGTAATAAAACATACACAGTCATTACCCTCCCTCCCTTCTCTGCTACTTGCCTCCTCTCATGTTACTTACCAAAGATCAAATAGCTTATTACTATCAGGGCCTGAATGTGTGATGCCTTTTTCACATTATCTTCCCCACCCCCACCCCGAATTACAATTTTACCTCAATCCTGCCTTTCTAGGACATCTATTTTTTAATGTTATTAATTTTTATTGAGATATAATCTACATATCATAAAACTCGTCATTTTAATGTGTACAGTTCAGTGATTTTTAGTATATTCACAAGGTTGTGCAACCGTCACTGCTCTCTAATTCCAGAACATTTTCATCGCCCCCCAGGAGAAACCTCATGATCATTAGCAGTTATTTCTCATTTTCCCTTCCTCATTCCCCTTATAACCACTTATCTACTTTCTCCCTCTGTGGATTTGCCTGTTCTGGACATGACAAGTAAGTGGAGCCACACAATATGTGACCTTCTATGTCTGGCTTCTTTCACTTAGCATAATGTTTTTGAGGTTCATCCATGTTTTAGCATGTCTCAATACCTCATTCTTTTTATGGCTGAATAATATTCTATTGTGTGAATATATATCATATTTTGTTTATCCATTTATCAGTTGATGGACATTTGGGTTGTTTCTACTTTTTGGCTCTTAAAAATAATACTACTGTGAACATTCTTGTACAAGTTTTTATATGAATATATATTTTGTTTTCTCTTGGGTATATACCTAGGAATGAAATTGTTGGGTCATATGGTAACTGTAGCATTTTGAGGGATTGCCAAACTGTTTTCCAAAATGGACACCATTTTACATTCATACCAGCAATGCACAAGAGTTCCAATTTCTCGACATCTTTACTTAATATATGTTTTTATTTTTTAAATTATAGCCATCCTAGTGAGTGTGAAGTGCTTTTGATTTGCATTTCCCTAGCGATTAATGATGTTG